TTCAGTTGTTTATACATTTTGCTCTAATAAATACAGTTATTCTACTGTTATTACATCCATGATTGATTCCAGGCTGCTACTGGGGTTGCCAGGCTGACCGTGGCAACCAGTGGGAGGGTTGGGAGTTGGGGACATGGACAGGTACATGATGTCACTGCTGTCACTACATCACTACAATGGGTAGCTCTGGGAATTGCCAAAAACTTTATGGTAAAACAACAGACACCGGTCATAGCAAACACCTCTTCCAACAACCTAAGAGGTGACTCTACCCATGGACATCACTAGATGGGCAACATCAAAATCAGACTGATTATATAATTTGCAGTCAAAGATGGAGAAGCTCCATACAATCAGTAAAAACAAGACCTGGAGCTGACTGTGGCTCAGATCATGAACTACTCATTGCAAAATTCAGACTTAAACTGAATCCCTTATGAATATACTGTGGAGGTGAAGAATAGGTTTAAGGGACTAGATTTGATAGGCAGAGTGCCTGAAGAACTATGGACGGAGGTTTGTGACATTGTACAGGAGGCAGTAATCACCACCATCCCAAAGAAAAAGAAATGCAAGAAAGCAAAGTGGCTGTCTGATGAGGCTTTACAAATAGCTGATGAAAGAAGGAAAGTGAGAGGCAAAGGAGAAAAGGAAAGATTTACCCAACTGAATGCAGATTTCTAGAGAACAGCAAGGAGAGATAAGGAGGCCTTTCTGAATAAACTATGCAAAGTAATAGAGGAAAACAATAGAATGGGAAGGACTAGTGATCTCTTCAAGAAAATTGGAGAAATCAAGGGAACGTTTCATGCAAAACTGGCCATGATAAAGGACAGAAATGGTACAGACCTAACAGAAGCAGATTAGGAAGAGGTGGCAAGAATACACAGAAGAACTTTACAAGAAGGACCTCAGTGTCCTTGACAACCACGACAGTGTGATCACTGACCTCAAGCCAGACATCCTGGAGTACGAAGTCAAATGGGCCTTAGAAAGCATTACTAACAACAAAGCTAGCGGAGATGATGGTATCCCAGATAAGCTATTCAAAGTCTTAAATTTGATGCTGTTAAAGTGCTGCCAGCAAAACTGGAAAACACAACAGTGGCCACAAGATTGGAAAAGGTCAGTTTACATTCCAATCCCAAAGAAGGGCAATGCCAAGGAATGTTCAAACTATTGCACAATTGCACTCATTGCACAATTGCAAGGTCATGCTCAAGATCCTACAAGCTAGACTTCAGCAGTACATGGATAGAGAACTGCCAGAAGTACAAGCTGGATTTCCAAGAGGTAGAGGAATGACAAATCAAATTGCCAACATTCACTGGATTATGGAGAAAGCAAGGGAGTACCAGAAAAATATCTCCTTCTGCTTCATTGACTATGCTAAAGCCTGTGGTTGTGTGGACCACAACAAACTATGGCAAGTCCTTAAAGAGATGGGAGTATCAGACCACTTCACATGTCTCCTGAGGGTCAAGAAGCGACAGTTAGGAAATTGAATAACATGGAAGCAGAAGAGTTTTTTAATGATTGGAAAGATTTAAAAGAATATTTAGAGAAGCATTGGGAAGTAAAAGGCAATTTATTCTGTTTTGATAATTATTGAATACAGAACTTTTTAGAGTTTTTCTGAGAGTTATGATAAGTAAAGAAATAATTGTGATAATGAAATAAGAGTTACCTAGTAAACTATAAGAAAAAATGTAATGGAAACAAAAAGAAATTAGAAGGGAATAAACAGGAGGTTGAAGAAATTAGAAGTAAATGTGCAGGAGGTCGGAGCACTGTGGGAAGCCGCATATAAGGGAGGGGGAAAAGGAGGGGGGATGGATGTAACAGGGATAAATGTAGAAAATTTAATGCTGATTATGAATGTTTATATCCTGAATAAAAAAAATTGTTACAAAAAAAGAAGAAGAAGCGACAGTTAGAACTGGATATGGAACAACTGATTGGTTTAGAAAAGGAAAACGAATATGGCAAGGATGTATATTGTCACCCTGCTTATTTAATTTATATGCAGAGTACATCATGTGAAATGCCGGCCTGGATGAATCACAAACCGGAATTAAGATTGCCAGGAAAAATATCAACAACCTCAGATATGCTGACGATACCACACTAATGGCAGAAAGTGGACCTCAAGAGCCTCTTGCTAAGAATGAAAGAGGAGAGCGCAAAAGTTGGCTTGAAACTCAACATCATGGCATCCGGCCCCATCATTCCTCGGCAAACAGAAGGGAAAGTCATGGAAGCAGTGAAATACTTCACGTTCCTGGGATCCAAGATCACTGCAGATGGTGACTGCAGCCATGGAATTAAAAGACACCTGCTCCTTGGGAGGAAAGCTATGGCAAACCTTGACAGCATAATAAAAAACAGAGACATCACTCTACCAACCAAAGCAATGGTATTCCTAGTAGTAATGTATGGCCGCGAGAGTTGAACCATAAGGAAGGCCGAGCACCAAAGAATAGATGCATTTGAATTATGGTGCTGGAGAAGACTCTTGAGAGTCCCTTGGACTGCAAGGAGATCAAATCAGTCAATCCTAAAGGAAATCACACCTGAATGTCCAAATACTTTGGCCACTAAATGAGAAAGGAGCACTCACTGGAGAAGACCCTGATGCTGGGAAAGACTGAAGGTAAAAGAAGACAGGGACAGCAAAGGATGAGATGGTTGGACAGTGTTACCAATACAATGAACATGAAATCGAGCAAACTCCAGAATATGGCAGAAGACAGGAGAGCCTGGCATGATATGGTCATAGAATCATAGAGTTGGAATGGGCAATACAGACCATCTAGTCCAACCTCCTGCCCAATGCATGACCAGACTAAAGTATCTCTGACAAATATTCATCTAGCCTCTTCTTGAAAGCTGTCAGTGAAGGGGAGCTAACCGCCTCCCTAGGCAGCTGGGAGTCGCGAAGAGTCCGTGGGGTCATGAAGAGTCGGACTCAACTGCACAACTAAACAACAACAAAAACCATAGGGGCAAAGCAATAGAGGGAGGCCTGGCAATCCTACCTCCTAGAAGATATTGTCATAGCAGCTATTGTGGCATGATCAGGAGAAATGTTGGGCTTTCCCAGAAGATGGTCTTTGTTCCTTGGTGGCACAACCCTACTTTCTCTTAGCACTTTACAAACATTAAGTGACATTCCTCATCCTCATTTCACAGATAGCTTAGTGGTGCGGGGACCAGCTGTTTTTTCATATTATAGGAAACATGTACTCAAATGCTAGAGAGGGAGCACACAGAGCCTCTGAAGAAAGTGGTGGGGAAGCAAAAATGGTAAAAGCTCTCTGAAACAGTAAGAAATTAACATTGGTACAAATCTACAGTTAAGAGGTATGTTATGTATTCAATAGGGAAGTCATGGGAATAATCCAGTTTTCCTGCTAGCCCACAGACACATATTGGTGCAGGAATCTGTGGGTGGCTTCAGATGGTCCACTGAGGCTGCAAGGAAATCTTTGTCTGAGTTTCATACAAAGGAAAAGAAATACATATATTCCCTGGTAATAAGAGGTGAGGTCTCTTATTGTGCAGGTCTCAGGAGACAAAATTCTGTGCCTGTTTCAGTTACGATGTTCGAAAATGAGAGATACGATTGAGTTAAACAAGGGCATTTTGTAACCAACAAACTCTCTGTGTCTCATCAACTCAGCCTGCCCTGCCCTCAAACCAGAATTTAGCAGGCAGTCTCCAAGGCACACAAAGAGTTCCCAGGCAGGGTGGTTTCCTTGTAGGGTGGCCAATTCTGGCTTGAGAAACAATGCTTGGGGAGGGCAGAGTTTGAAGAGAGTGATGTCAGAAGGGGAAGCAAAAGGGGGGGAGGCATCTTCAAAAGCCTCCCCTTCCCTTCCCCAGCCGGCCTCTAGAGTCATCTTTCCATTATATTCTATGGGGCCATAGAATACAATGGAAAGATTGCACCGCTGCTGCAGCGCAACTCCAGAGAGAAGGGGTTTAAACTTTAAACCCCTTCTCTCTTTGCTCCCCACCAGCCCGCCATGGCAGGCCGGCTGGGGAAGGGAAGGGGAGGGGAGGGGAGGGGAGGCTTTTGAAGATGCCCCCCCTTTTTTGCTTTCCCAGCCGTCCTGCTTCTGGCGCCCACACACAGAGGGAGCAGCAAGGTCATTCAGCTAAGGCGCCAAAAATCCTTGCCCTGAAGGTGAAGCCGTTTAGTCTACCCTCCAAAGCTACCATTTCCACCAGGGGTACTAATATGATAGGCTAGAGAGCAGTTACAATTCTGTTTTATTTTAGTTTATTCCTTTATACTCCACCTTTCTCCCCAGTGGGGACCCCAAGCAGCCTACATCATTCTCCTCTTCTGCATTTTATCCTCACAACAACCATGTGAGGTAGGTTACGAAGAGAGAGCGAGACTGGCCCAGGGTCACTCAGTGAACTTCCATGACATGAGTGGGGATTTGAACCCGAGTCTCGCAGGTACTAGTACTACACTCTTAACCACTACACTGCACAGGTTCTCTAAGATGGTGATACTATTTCCTTAGGAAATTCATCTCGATAGACTATGTATAAGGAGACACTGGATCAGAAACACACTCTTCTGACTCTCAAGAATTCAAAATTATCAGTGTAACCCTGTTCATTTATGCATGTGTGCAATTAAAGTCTATAAATATACATCCTGTTTTAACCATTGTGAAGAATTTAGAAAAGCGTTTTGTTGTCATGTTTTATAAATGAAATACCATGCAATCGGAACAGGCTATTAGTTGCATATTTATCCCATTCAGCCAAGAGCTGGATCCCAAAGCAACTCACAAAAAATTAAAATGCAAAAGTAAATGAAATATAATGTATATTAACCAATATTCTAATTAATGTTTGCTGCCCATTGTCCAGAGTCCAGGTCTCACAGCTCTTTGGAACTCACTGAGTATTTCCTCTGCCCCCTTTCATACAATTTTCCCTCCTCCCCCAACAGTGAAGCTGCCACTGGCGATACTCACTCATGCAGTCCCCGCCATACCAGCCGGCCCTGCATTCTGCACAGTAAGTGCCCTTGATGTAGAAGTTGTCTAGTGTTCCCCCCCAGGAGCCATTGCGGCAAGACTTGCAGTTTTCAAAAATCATGCAGCCTGAAAGAAGAAAACCCATTTGGTTAATGGAGGCCCAATGCTTAAGTTTTACAGAGTGGGAAATGCATCTGATAAAGCGCACTGCAATCCATAAACATTTATTCCATGTTAAGCTTTAGGGTGCCACTGCCACATGACTCCCATTTATCTTTGGGTGGGAAATGATGCTCATTATCAATGATCCTCTTAAACAAATATTTGTGAAACTGTGTCATTCAACACCAGCACACCACCAACCTCTTACCATCAGAGCAACCCATGCTCTTCCTCTCTCTTTGTTCTCCAGGTATCATTAAATAGAATCATGAAAGTGTGGGAAGCCTTATTGGACATGTCCTGCTTACTGCACTGTGTTTAAAGATCTCTGTGGGAGCAGAGGTCATTTCGGGGGGGATCGCAGTTCCCCCGGGTGAGGTACGGGGGGCGGGGCACATGACGAAGCCCCGCCCCCTGCTTCCGGCCGCCCCGCTTCCGGTCCTCATTCAGCCAGGAGGAGGCAGGAGAAGAGGGAGGGTAAGTTGCTTCCTCCCTGCCTCTCCCCACCCCTGCCTGCCTGGGGCCAGGGAAGGCCTTTGCGGGGCTTCCTTGCACTCCCGCCGGCCTTGCAGGTCCACCGCCGGGCCCCTCGTGGGGCTTGGCAGTGGAGCTGCAAGGCCGGCGGTGGCAGCCGGGACCGTTGGGGGCGGGGTGTGTGGCCTTATGACACACTTCCGGTGATGGCAGGGGGTGTGGCATATGCTAATGAGTTATGCTAATGAGCTCCCCTAGCTCTTTTTCTATGAAATGACCCCTGTGTGGGAGCAAGGAGGGAAGGAGAATTATCTGGTCTAGCATGGGTGCACTGAAGGCGGCGGTGAGGGAGTTGTGGTGAGGCGCCTCAATTCATGGCCTGAGGACACTGCTGTACCTCATCTCATCGCAGAGCTGGTTCTGAATCCTGCATATATAAAATCAGCATATCAGACTATTGGCCCCTTTAGCTGAGCATTAGCTGCTGTGGCGGTGGATCTCCAAATTCTCAAAACAGGTTCTCCTGAGATCCATTGTCACTAGAAATTCTGTAGACTGAACCTAGAACCTTTTGCATGCAGAGTACGTACTCTGCCACTAAGTCATGGTGCATCTATATTAGATCGGATGCTGTGTTAGCATTTAAGTAGTCAATGTGTACTTCACCCTAGGGCTGCCAACAACTTGCCCATTAAATTTCTTTATTTATTTAAAACATTTGTATGCTGTTTTTCCAACACATCAGGGTCCACAAGGCAGGGTATTAAAAAACCATTAAAACATTTAAGCAATTAAAAATACAGTTAAAACTACAAAGTAATTAGATTAAACACATAAACAACACTTGAAGGAGGTATGCCAGATGAAACAAAAAAAGTTTTCACCTACTGGTGAAAGACACTGGTAGAGGAAGACAGATGAATCTCCCTATGAGGGCATTCCAACATTTTGGTGCCACGACCAAGAAGACCCTTTCTCCAGTTGTCTCCTGCTTAGCTTCTGAGTAACTGAGAGTAACTGAAGCAGAGCCTCCAAAGGTGACCCGAGTGTATGGGTATGTTCATCTGGGAGAAAGCAATCCTTAACGTATGTTGGCCTGGGCTATAGAGGGCTTTAAAGGCCAATACCAGCACCTTGAATTGAGCAAATTGTAAGCCAGTATAAATGGAACAAGACTGGTGTGATACAGTTCCTATGACCCACTCCAGTCAACAACCTGGATGCAGCATTCTGTACCAACAGTAGCTTCTGGACAGTCTTCAAGGCCAGCCCCACATAAAGTGCAGTACAGTAGTCTAATCTCAAGATAACCAGGACATGTACTACAGTAGCAAGATCTTTTCCACTTAGGAAGGCAGCTGGTTCACTAGCTGAAGTTGGTGAAAGGCATCTCTGGCCACCTGTTTATCCTACTGGAGCACCCCCAAACTACAAACCTTCTTCTTTAAGAGGAGGGCAATCTGTCAACAGAGAAGCCATTTTAGGAATATTCCAGCTGAGATTTAATTTTACTGTTCTGATTCTTTGTCAGTCAACCTCCAGCCCCCATACTGGCGGTTACTTGTTACAGTGATCTACTCAGGCTTATTAATTAACTCACACAGTTCAGCTGTGAATCTGGTATGGGAGCGGGAACTTGCTCTCACCCTAAAAAATTCCATGGATACTGTCCAGTGATTGGTTGAGGAGGTCAGGGGTTATGGCTAGCAGGGGTTTTTTTTATATAAAATATAGCTTGTATAGAAAGGAAGATCCTTACCCTTTACCCCTTTCCTCTCTACCCTTCCTTTGCCGGCAAGAAGATATTTTCTGCCAAGAAGGTATGAGTATCCACAGCCTCCCTGGGATCTGATGGAAGTGTGAGATAGAACTGAGTGTCATCTGCATATTAGTGGCAACTCAACCCAGATCTCCAGATGACCTCTCCCAGTAGCTTTACATTCCATGGGGGACAAGATGGAACCTTGGGGGCTCCCTTAGGCCAAAGGACAAGGGGAAAAGTAGCTGTCCCCTGGCAACACACTCTGAAACCTTCCCTTGAAGTAAGACCAGAACCACCACAAAACAGTGCCTCTCAGTCCCTATCAGTGTTCCCTCTAAGCTGAGTTAGTGTTAGCTAGCTCACAAGTTTTTTAGCCTCCAACTCACACATTTTTGTCTCAGCTCAGGAAGAATGGCTCCAGAGCAAACTGATTTACGCAGTAGCCAAATTGCTTGCTCAGAACTTTAATGTCAGTAGCTCACAAAGGTGAGTTTTTACTCACAAGACTCCACAGCTTAGAGGGAGCATTGGTCCCAATCAAAGGCTAAGAACATAAGAGAAGCCAATGTTGGATCAGGCCAATGGCCCATCTAGTCCAACACTCTGTCACTCAGTGGCCAAAAATACCAGGTGCCATCAGGAGGTCCAGCAGTGGGGTCAGGACACTAGAAGTCCTCCCACTGTTGCCCCCTCCCAAGCACCAAGAATGCTGTGCATCACTTGCCCCAGTCTGAGAGTTCCTCTTGTGGCTAATACCTTGTGGCTAATAGCCACTGATGGACTTCTGCTCCATATGCTTATCTAATTCCCTCTTGAAGCTGTCCATGCTTGTAGCCGCCGCCACCTCCTGTGGCAGTGAATTCCATATGTTAATCAGTTTTGGGGTGAAGAAGTACTTTCTTTTATCTGTTCTAACCCCAACTGCTCAGCAATTTAGTTGAGTGTCCATGAGTTCTTGTATTGTGAGAAAGGGAGAAAAATACTTCTTTCTCTACCTGCTCTGTCTAGCCAGAAGGATACTTTGATTTATGGTAGTGAAAGCTGCCAAGAGGTCCAGCAGAATTAACAGGATTACACTGCCCTGTCCATCTCCTGATGCATGTCATCCATGAATGACAACAAGAAGGCTGTTTCAGACCCACGATCAGGCCTGAAACCATACTGGAATTGATCTAAACAATTTGCTTCATTCAGGAATCTCTGAAGTTGACCAACCACCACTTGTTCAGACACTTTGCTCAAGAATGGTACATTTGAAACTGGATGATAGTTATTTATTTAATTAATTAATTCTATTTATACCCCGCCCTCCCCACAAGTGGGCTCAGGGCAGCTTACAGAATTCGTACCCAGTACCATAAAACATTACAAAGATTAAAACATTCCAAAACATTTAAAACAATCCAATGAACAAGTGCTAGTGCTGATGATCGTCTATCAGTAGTTCAAATGGCATATTGTATAACATACAACCAATGTTTCTAATTCCATGGTCTTTGGCATTGTGCGGTAGTGTGGCACATTCTCCAGGCCAGGGCCAATCCATAGCCACCAATGTTGGTGGCAGTGGGGTGGCGGCTCCTAATTGAATGCCTGGTGGAAGAGCTCTGTCTTGCAGGCCCTGCGGAACCATAAAAGATCCCGCAGGGCCCTGATCTCCTCCAGGAGCTCATTCCACCAGTATGGAGCCGCCACTGAAAAGGCCCTGGCTCTAGTAGCAGCCAACTTGACATCTCTCGGGCCAGGAAGAGTCAGGTGATTCTGTGTTCCTGACCTCAGTGCTCTTTGGGGCACATATGGGGAAAGGTGGTCCCTCAAGTAGGCAGGTCCCTGACCATATGGGGCTTTAAAGGTCAAAACCAGCACCTTGAAACGGATCCGGTAAGCTATCGGCAGCCAGTGCAATGCCTTCAGCACAGGCTGGATGTGATCTCATATGGAGAGGCCCATCTACAGCCTGGCCGCCGCATTTTGCACCAGCTGCAGCTTTCAGAGCTGGGCCAAGGGCAGCCCCATGTAGAGAGCATTGCAGTAGTCTAATCTCGAGGTGATCATAGTGTGAATCACTGTTGCCAGGTCATTGCGTTCGAGGAAGGGAACCAACTGCCTCATCAGCCGCAGATGGTAAAAGGCTGCCTTGGCAGCAGCTGCTACCTGGGCCTCCATTGTTAAGGTGGCATCCAGGAGCACTCCCAAGCTCCTAACCCTCGATGCCAGCACCAATGGTGCCCTGTCAAAGGTCGGGAGTGGGATCCCTACCCCCGGTCCACTTCAACTCAGGCACAGGACCTCCGTCTTCGTTGGATTCAATTTCAATCGACTCAGTCTAAGCCAGCCCGCCACATCACCTAGTTATTCAACTCTCCTGGTCCACAGTAGGTGGAATAACCTAGTTATTCAACTCTCCTGGGTCCACAGTAGGTTTCTTTAGGAGTGGACACACCACTGCCCGCTTCAAGACAGGAGTGACTACCCCCTCTCTCAGGGAAGCATTTACCGTTTCCGGGGCCCAGTCCACCAGCCCTCCCCCCAGAGATTTAAGCAACTAAGAGGGACAAGGGTTGTACAAACAGATGGTAGGGTTCAACTAATAATAAGAGGAAGAAAGGACGAATTCAAGCCAGAGAGGGCAGGCTACATCGTATTTGAAGCAAGATGTCTTGTCACAGGCTGCCTGAACTCTCATGGCCTGAACAAGGAATTTACCTAACAAAAGAGTATTTGTTGT